TTTTTTTTAAACTTAAATTTTTTAATTTATTTAAGAGAGAGAAACATCAATTTGTTGTTCACTTACTTATGCATTCATTGGTTGTTTCTTGTATGTACCCTGACTGGGGATCGAACCCGCAACCTTGGCATATTGGGACAATGCTCGAACCGACTGAGCTACCCAGCCAAGGCTTATAAAGTACATTTATTTACAGCACCAGTTATTCTAAGTACCCCCTCCCCTGAATATAAACTTCTTGAGGGCAGGTTTCCCTTGTAAGCGCAAGTACAGAGTACCCTGTGGAATTCCAAAGGTGTGTAACGAGAATGGCAATTTTGACAAAGTTCTGATTTTCCTCACTTTACAAACCTTTGTTCATATTGTCACCCTGTTTGGAATGCTCTCCTCATCACAAGTTAGTTCAAAACTGCACCATCCTTCATGGCCTATTTCAAATGCCACTTCCTTACAAAGGCTCTTCTCATCTCCCCATCGGGATATAAACTCTCCCCTCTTTGAAAGAGGGAATATTTTGTGCTTTTCTATGGTACTGATTTTTTTACGGTACTATATTGCAGTTATTTGGGCATCCCTCTCATCTCACACATCTCTTGCCCCACACCTTCTGGAATCTCAGAACCCTGAGATAACATCTACATCCTTCCCAGCTTTGCAACTCCCAGCACCGTGCTGGGTAGAGTCTGATTTGAACTGTTCAATTAGCAGCAAAAATGATGGAATCAGAGATAGTAATAAGCATGATTACCAAACAAAAAGTTTTTTAAAATCCTAGAAGAAACTACACAAAACAGGATGCAGGCACCAATCACAGGCTGTATGTTGAATCACTCTGACCACTCGGCTTGTTTATATCTAGTCATTTTCATCACATGGATTTCATTTTGCTAGAACTCCAGAAGACTCAGACAAAGAGCCATAGCCTCCCAGCCGCTGCGTTCCCAAGCCTGTGGTTTTCCTATGATATAAACAAAAGATTCGGGAGGTATGGTCTCTGTTAGTATTTGCTGGTGTGGGTCTGGGGGAGAAATGAGCGGTAGGGCTAGGGGCAGGGGGCTTGAGGGAAACCCACCTAGTGAACTGACAAGTTCATATAAGCAACACCTGGAGTGTTAAATCCCCTACAACTGTTGTTTTACTAAAAGAAAAAAAAATCCCCTCTTCTTTGGAAAATGTAAAAGTTCTTTCACCAGCTGCATTCCGATCTACAGTGTGTGGCAGTTCAGGAGAGATGGCAGCTGGAACGGATCATGCTCAGGATACAGTGAGTGCTCACCAGCAGCCAGGGATGAACCCACAAAATGGATCTTTAGAGCCACGTTCCTCAACCTGCCTGCTCAGAGTTTTCTGCTTGTGAACACTGAGAACACTGGAAACGCGCATCGCCAGGATTGGCGAGAGGATCCACCTTTTGAATAGAAAAGCTGTGACATCAGCTTTTCAGGACTCCCCACTTAGCTTCATAAAACCCTCAAGTCTAAGCTTCGGGTTTAATCCTATTTTTGTTAAATATTTACAATCTACTACAAAACCAAATTCAGACCAAATGTCTGCTAACAAAACCTCATGACACAGCCATTCCTCCTGACGAGAGGGAGAGAGGGCTAGCATCTACTGGCACCGGGTCAGTCACTCTCTTTGTGCTCCATCCTCACAGCGCCGGAAGCAGATGCCTGACTTCACATACAGAGAAGGTAACTTGGGCCCCGAGAGGTTAAGTCATTTGCTCAACGCGCCCCCTCCCCCGAGGAAAAATGAAGGGAGTTAGGCCTGTCTGACTCCAAAGCCAGTGTTCTTTCCACTGTGCTCCGTCTGCTACTGACCAGTATACCCCAGAGAAGTTCTTTCTCCAGAATCGGTAAGAATGCTATAAGAGTCTAAGACTAAAATAGGCATTGGCAAACTTTTTCTGTAAAGGGCCAGATTGTAAATATTTTAGGCTTTGTGAGCCATATGGTCTCAGTTGCAATTACTTAATTCTGCCCTTGTAGCCAAAAAGCAGCCACAGACAATATACAGGGTGGGGCAAGAGTAGGTTTGCCGTTGTATGTGAAACACAGTTTATTCTCCTCCCTTTGACCCCTTCTAGCCCACCCCCATCCCCACCTGCACCCCAGACCTTGGGTTATACATATATGCATACAAGTTCTTTGGTTAATCTCTTCTCACCCACCACCAGACTTTATTCTTGTATTATTATTTATTAATTACTGTATATTTTTCCGTACAAACAACTCTAAACCTAATTTTGGCCCACCCTGTATAGATAGATGAGTATGGCTATGTTCCAATAAAACTTTATGTACAGTGGGGCCTTGACTTACGAGTTTAATTCATTCCGTGACGGAGCTCATAACTCAAATTACTCATATGTCAAATCAAAAAGTGAACAAGTGAGACACGTGATGCTGGGCTGATGTTGTGGCATTCACTGTGACGTTCGCTGCGCCAACTAGCGGTGGGGTATCTGAAGCTGGCTCGTAACCCGAATTTTAGCTCGCAACTCAAAAGTAAAAAATTGGCTGAGAAACGGCTCGTATCTCGAAAAACTCGTTAGGCGGGACACTCGTAAGTCAAGGCCCCACTGTACACCTTTATTTAAGACTTCATTCGCACCTTTCGGCTCTCTGAGCAGCACCATGGCAATCGGCAAGAACAAGTGACTTACAAAAGGTGACAAAAAGGGAGCCAAGGAGAAAGTGGTTAATCCATTTTCTTTTTCTGTTAATCCTCATCCGAGGATATTTTCCCATTGAGTTTTAGAGAGAGTGGAAGGGAGGGAAAGTGAAAGAGAGAGAAACATCGATGTGAGAGAGACACTTCAATGTGAGAGAGACACATCGACTGGTTGCCTCTCGCACAAGCCCCGACCACGGCCAGGGATCGCGCCTGCAACTGAGGTATATGCCCTTGACCAGAAATGAACCTGGGACCCTTCAATCTACGGGCTGATGCTCTATCCACTGAGCCAAATTGGCTAGAGAGGTCGACCCATTTTTTAAGCAAGATTGGTATGATGAGAAAGCACCAGCTATGTTCGGTATAAGAAATATTGGAAAAGTACTCGTCACGAGAACTTAAGGAACAAAATCTATCTAATGGTCTCAAGGGTTGTGTTTTTGAAGTGAGCCTATCTGAAACGCAGAATGATGCAGTTCCATTTAGAAAATTCAAGCTAAGAATGTTCAGGACAAAAATTTGCCTAATTTCCATGGCATGATCTTACCATGGACACTAAATGTACTCCATGTCAAAGAACGGCAGACCAGCCCTGGCTGGGTGGCTCAGTTGGTTGGAGCATTGTCCTGTACCAAAAGGTTGTGGGTTCAATTTCCAGTCAGGGTTCATACCTAGGTTGTGGGTTCAATCCCTGTTCAGGGCTCATACGGGAGGCAACCGATTGATGTTTCTCACATCGATGTTTCTCTTTCTCCTATTCCTTTCTCTCTCAAATCAATAAAAACATATCCTCGGGTGAGGATAAAAAACAAAGACAGACCATGATTGAAGCTCATGTTGATGTCAAGACTACTGATGGTTATTTGCTTTGTCTATTCTGTGTTGGTTTTACTAAAAAACGCAAGAATCAGATTTGGAAGGCCTCTTGTGCTCAGCATGAACAGGCCCACCAAATCTGGAAGATGATGATGGAAATCATGACCCAAGAGGTGCAGACAAATGACTTGAAAGAAGTGGTCAATAAACTGATTCCAGAGAACACTGGAAAAGTCTTGCCAATTCATTAATCTGCTCCATGATGTCTTTGGTAGAAAAGTCAATGCTGAAGAAGCCCAAGTTGGAATTGGGGAAACTCATGGAGCTTCACGGTGAAGGTAGCAGTTCTGCAAACGCTACTGGGGATGGAGACAGGTGCTAAAGTTGAATGACCTGATGGATTTGAGCCTCTGGTTCAAGAATCTGTTTAAAATTCGGACTTAATGGTGACAATAAAAAATCCTATTTGTGATTACAAAAACAAACTTTATTTATAAAAACAGGCAGTGGGCCTAATTTGGCCCACAGGCTGCAGTTTGCTGACCTCAGCTCTAGAAGGTTCTACAGTGGATAGCTTAATGTTATTTGACTTATAAATCAATAAAGAATTGCCTGTTCCAACTCAATTAATCGACAAACATGAAAGTCTTCTATGTTCTATATGGTCCATGCATTAAGGAATGTATATCCCTTTAGGAAGAAAGACACAGGTACATAAAAGCCAAATAGCAACACAAGGCAGCATGTGGTAGGTGTCAAAGGAGGGCTGAGAACTAACTGATGGGCAGCTAAGGTAACAGAACACCAGGGTCCACAACCTGATTAAACAATCCTGCATGGGCACCAGAGCTCAGAAAGAATGAGAAAATCCTCTCAGTGGGCAACAATGAAGATAAGCCAGAAGTTACTAACAAAAGCACCCATTCTGGTGAGACCACTTAAAATTTTCATCAGCACGTGTCAGATGCTCACCAAAGTTAACATCTCCTTTAGACTTACCAAACCCATCTGCTCCCCGTCTTGTTCTCAAAGGACAAGAGATGGGCCCTAGCTGGTTTGGCTCAGTGGATAGAGCATTGGCCTGCGGACTGAAGGGTCCCGGGTTTGATTCCCGCCAAGGGCACATGTCCCGGTTGCAGGCTCAATCCCCAGTAGGGGGCGTGAAGGAGGCAGCCAATCAATGATTCTCTCTCATCACTGAAGTTCCTCTCTCTCTCTCTCTCTCTCTCTCTCTCTCTCTCTCTCTCTCTCTCTTCCTCTCCCTCTCCCTTCCTCTCTGAAATCAATAAAAAAATATACATATATATATCTTTTAAAAAAGGACAAGAGATGGACTTAAGGTACAAGATAAAATGAGCGCTTTGGGAGACTCTTTGAGGTCCTCCATTCTCCTCCAGACTGATACTCTAAGCACTGAAGAGTCTGAAGACGCTCCAGGCAAGAGCTGATAGAAACCATCTTGGGTCACCCTTGGACGTCTGGGAAGCAACTTCCCAAACCCTTACCTTGCTCATGGCAGTCAGGGCCGGGTCACAGGCAGCATCCAGGTCCTGAACCAACAACTGGATGCTGTTCGAGATGACACTGCAAGTCAAACAAATTCGTAGGTCAGAACTTTCCAAAAGAGGACTTTTTAAGTGACACAGCCCTCCCAAATGTTTTAGGCACCCGTGTAAAATGAGATTCATCATTTCATCAGAAACTCAGTACACTCGAATTGAATTTCAAAAGGGAATTAGTGACAACGAGGAACCCTTGGCTCTTTCTTCATTCTTGCTGCATGTCCTGGTCTTATTTAGGTGTGTCCTCACTGAGGACACAAAATTCCACAAAATTCTTTCTATTTGCTGCACCCAGAATCTCTCTTCACTTCTATCTCCAAAAGTACAAAGGAGAGGAAACGACTTAAGAAAACTTTAATTTTTCCTCAAAAAGTGGTGATGAGAAAGCTCAGCCTATCCCAATCTCATGTAATGACCATGAAAAAAATACTGCTAAGAAACACCAGGGAAAGAACTACTTCGAGAAGGCTTTTCAGTTTGAACTTCTTGGACAGACACCCCACCTCCCCCAACCCAAACACACACACACACACACACACACACACACACACACACACACACAGCTAAAATCTGGCTGCTTACAGTGTATACCAGATATTTCCAATCAGTGTGCCACAGCACACTGGTGCGCTGCAAGATTTTTAAAACATGCAATACCTGATTATTTAGCCAGGGGCACTGACCTCTTTTCCCTTAGATCCGCAAATAAAAAAAAATGACAACAGCCAACACTAGCCTTCTGGTGTAAATGAATCAAAATTATCCCTACTTTTTTGTCAGATCAGAAAAATATATCATTTTGTCACATCAGCAAAAAATAAGTTTTGGTGTGCCACAGAAATTTAGTAATTAGTTTATGTGTGCCAGGAGATAAAAGGTTGAAAATCACTGTTTTATATTGTATTACAATTTTTTTTTGTTTGTTAATCCTCACCTGAGGATATTTTCCCATTGGTTTTTTTAGGGGGGGGGGGGGGACAGAAAAAGAGAAACATCAATGTGAGAGACACATCGATTGGTTGCCTCGCATGCGTCCAACCAGGGCCGAGGATGGAACCTGCAACCAAGGTAGCTGCCCTTTATGAGAATAGAACCTGGGATCCTTCAGTCCGCAGGCTGACACTCTATCCTAAGCCAAACCGGCTGGGCGCTGCTTTATATTCTAAAACACTGGAGGTGGGGCTGGCCCTCTGTGGATTTAGGAGGCAGATAGGAGGCCTTGGATCTGACCTTCCTTCAGGGATGTCCAAGGGGGGCATTCTTTTTGCTATTCTAATAGTGAAACAATAAAAACCTAGAAGCTAAAAACGGTTCTATCTGAGGAGACAGAATGGGACGCAGCCGCACCAGCTCCTCATGGTTCTTCTTGGTGGCTGGTGGAGGATGATCCCGATCCATCAGAAGGCCCTGGAAGCCTCGAAGGCTCTGCAGTGACCTAAGGCCCATAGCCTGAGACATGCCGCTCTGTGCAGGGCAGACCATGAGCAAGTGTGTGCGAGGTACATACGTGCTGAATGTGTCCATTTCTCCAGTCAGATTGATTCGTTCAGTCAGACTTACATCAACTTTTTCTTTGAGTTTTTCTTCCAGCTGTTAGAAAAGAAAAACATGCTTAATGATTATCCAAATAAGAACCATCATAAGAATACTTAACATGGACTGAGTTTGATGATTCAAGCGTAATTCCAGGCCCTTTTCCTGCATTGACTCATTGCATTCTCACAACCCTAGGAGGAAGATTCTATTCCTATCCCCATTTTACAGATGAGGAAATGGAGGAGTGACCTACCCAAGACAGTAAGTGGTGGGACCAGGAAATAAACTTCCTCTAGAATCTGTGCCCTTGAGCATTGGGTTGTAATTGTTTCTTATGACACTCTGACAATTTATTTCACTAATTTTTTTTAATCCTCATGTGAGGATAAGTTCTTATTGATTTTAGAGAGAAAGGTAGGGAAAGAAAGAGAGAGAGAGAGAGAGAGAGAGA